TGCTCAAATCCCACCTCAGCTCTTCTTCTCCCCTTGGGTTGGGGGCACTTTGCACTCTCAGTTGGCACCTACACCTAGTGTTTAGGGTGGCTCAGTGCAGGTTCCACTGCTGAGCATGGCCCTGGCACACTGTTCCTGTGCTAAGAGCAAAGCCTGTGTTTCAGAATGAGATCTACTGGAACGACTGGTCACAGCTGAGTATTTTCAGAGCATCCAAAACCAGCGGCTCCAGGATGGAGATCTTGGTCGGACGATTAAATGGGATCATGGACATGAAAATCTTTTACAGAGGAAAGACAACAGGTAATCACATGAGTGTGCAGATGACCTTCCCTGTGGTTTAGAAATGTGTTCATGCCCCACTTCCAAAGCTTCCCAGGCCATCCTGGCTTGTATTTCACATCCCCATTCCTACAGGGTTTGAAGTTCTCAGGCACAGTCATAAAGAATGAGTTTCATGAGTGGTATGTGCTGCTTTTTGGCTGCCAGGAGAGATACTCCCCATTAGGGACAGAGCTTGTAGGGCAGTTGGCTGTGCTGGCACCTCATAGTTCAGGTCACAGAGACTACGACCTTTCCATGCAAAGTTCTGTATGGGCCAAAAAATAATAAGTGTCTCAGAGCTGCACCAACTTTGTCCTCCACTTAGTCATCTCTCTGGGCTGTGATAAGGTAGTGGCAGCCACTGTGTGATGAATGTGCTGATTTAGTCCCATTTTCAGACAGGTACCAGAGCATCAAAGGGCTCTGCCAGTCAGAAGTCTGCAGGAGACTAGGAGGACAATTAAGGCCCTTGATCTCCCTGGAGCAGATGGCTCTGTTCATTCCTCAGGCCAGCCTCAGCACTCAGCAGTGCAGAGCTGGCTCCTGATGGGGTCTGAACCCAAAACCTGGGCTGGCAGAGGAAATTGAGCTTCCCATGGCATCTTTGTGCTGACAGTGTCTCCTCTTGCTCCCTGCCCTGTCTCCAGGGGAGAATGCCTGCATCACCAAGCCCTGCAGCCTGCTCTGCCTGCCCAAGTCCAACAATGGTAGGAGCTGCAAGTGCCCCGAGGGGGTGTCCAGCACCATTCTGCCCACTGGGGAGGTGAGGTGTGACTGTCCTCATGGCTACATCATGAAGAACAACACTTGCATAAAGGAAGGTAAAGCTATGCTTGGTTCTTGCTGCTGCTTTGTGCCGAGAAGCAGCTTCTGCATGACCTTTCCTCTGTTCTGTGGGTGAGGAGGAGTATGGCTCATTTCTGAAAGCACAGCTCCTGCCTCATGCCAGCTTGTTTTTGTTTTCCCTCTTGCACCAGAGAACACGTGTCTGCCAAACCAGTACAGATGCTCCAATGGGAACTGCATAAACAGCATCTGGCAGTGTGACAACGATAATGACTGTGGGGACATGAGCGATGAGAGGAACTGCCGTAAGTGTCCTGGGGTGGCACTGGGCTGTCCAAATTTAGATGTCTGCTGTGTTAGCATCACACCTGAGCTCATGGTCTGTGCTCCCTTCACAGTCAGGGAGAGCAAGGGGCACTCTAGGGGTGTAACTCCCCTACTTTGCTAGACATCCTAAGCCAGTTGGATGAGCTCTGTCTTGCAACAGCCAATTTTACCCCCTTGACCAGCTCAGGTTTAAATGCCAAAAATTTGGTGAGACTGATGCCAAGCTCTCTCATGTGTTTGTCTCTTGCAGTAATTGTCTTCTGAAGCTAAT